GAAATAGCAGGAAGATCGAAACTTTGTTTTCGTTCGTCGAACGATGCGCTACATTAATAGAAAGGAAAGTTGTTCCAGAATCAGCTCATTAGTTCGAATATCTCTTCTCTCTCGGTTCAAGATCGATGGATCTCAAAACGACACGTGCATTGCCCCGGGCTTCCACTTCCACCTCCTCCTACTCTTCTTATTCTTCTCTTCCTCTCAAAAGAAGTAAAAAAAAAAAAAAAGAAATGATCATGAAACGAATACCGTTACCAACGTTGCGAATTTTTAAACAATGTAAACTTCTACAATGCTACGTATGCTTAAAAAAAAGTGTATAAATTATTGAACGCAAAATTAAGTGAAATATAAATGAAGTTTTGCGAATAATGTCGCGAATGATAATATCAAAAAGGGAGAAAGAATAAATAATAAAAAGAAAAGCAAAAGAAGAAAAAATAGTAAGGGAGGATGCGGAAATTAGAATTTGTTAGTAAGTATAATTAGTATCTAAGTGATAAATTAGGGTCTATCCGCATACTTTCTGAAGGAAGTAAGCGCGAACTAGAACATTGGAGTCTTTCTCGATGGCCCACCTTACAAGGTCGACCGACGACATTTAATTTCGACCTCGTTCGGTCGCCTTTCTACCTCTCGAGGATTCAGATAGAGAGACCGGACACGTTCGCGGACTTGGAATGAATCGTAAACGGTAAAGGACAGGAGGGAGTACTACTACTTCTATTACTATTATTATTCTTTCTAACAAGCTTTTCTAAATGTCTTGAAGGAACACATTTCGGAGGAAAGAAAAGAAAAGAAAAGAAAAAGAAAAAGAAAAAGGAAAAGAAAATAAGGGGGACGGAAGAAAAAAAAGAAATGGTTTAATAAAATCTATTAGAATTCGTAGTTTGCGGGTCACTTTGTCGTTTCGGGAAAATGATTATGACAATGAGAATGGGAATGAGAATGTGACGACTGCTAACGTTGAATGAGAATGATAACCGTACACGACACCTCCTCTCTCGGAAGGAGAGATCGACCACGATCGTTCCTGGGTTTTATGTGTTAGTAACAACATGTGTGTGCGTACCTGTATGAGTGGTGTAACCGTTAGCTGGCCGGTTTACTACTTTGATACCCGGTTCAACGCAACGATTCCAAACGAACTTAACGTAGGTATACAAACTCGCAGTTAAGGCAAGCTTCTTCTTCTTCTTCTTCTTCTTCTTCTTCTTCTTCTTCTTCTTCTTCCTCGAATCGATTAAAAGGGCTTACTCGTTTCGTTTAAAACGATAACTTTATTTAAGATCGTATTTCTTCATTTTATTCTCAACGATTTAACGCGTCCGTCTCTAACTTCGTTAGCGTATCTTTTCTATGCTGGTTAATCTCGTTATTTTGATTCAATTTTTCTTTTTTCTTTTTTTTTTATTCTAACTAATTCAATCCCCGAGTAATTTAAATAATTCATCTTATAACATATAGAAAGTTTATAAAGTTATTCAAGATTTTATTATATAAGCCAATAATTATAATAGTAGACTCTAGTAAAAAAAAAAACATATTACGCAAGTTGATTTTATTATTTTATTATTATTCGTACGTTGATGTAAACTATAAAATCAATTATTTTTTTAATTTCGTAACTTACAATTAGCCCAATTTAATAATTATCTCGACACATATATAATATTATTAGAAAAATATGAAAAGATTGTATTTTTGTCTTTGAAATATCTTGAATTTGATTAATGTTAATAATGTCATAAAAAATTGTAAATAAATGTAATACATTTGTTTTGATAGTCAATTAAAAACTAAATATCGTAAAGGAAAATGTATGAGTGTAAACTAAGATCATTAAATGATCGTTACACGTTGATCAGTGATTTTTAATTAATAGGGCGAACGTGTTTCTTCGGTTAGAGAGTTGGTCGGGCATTCGGGAACAATTTTCAAGCGAATTCCAATGTAACCGAAGGCGAGTGGAAGCGTAACGATGACCAAGAGCTCGAGGTTCAAACTTTTTGCCCGGAGCAACGAAGAAGAATGGCTCGGATGCGTTCCGAATAAACGCCGAGATGCCGGCGGTCCGTTTTTTACCATAGAAACAACGGTACAGGCAAGCAGTGACGATTCAACTGTTGATGCTTCGTCAAATAGTTAATAAATAATGTCATCTAATATAATCATTTTTTATTTCCGTTCCAGGAAAGAAAAAAAAGAAATCGTGCAAAACTTTTTTCACCGAAATAAATCTCAAATCTGAAAAATTTCATGACAAAATTAAATACGTTTAAAAAAAAAAAAAAAAAAGAAATAAAACGGGAGGTACCCAATTGTTCTCTCTCGCGAAAATATATTAATAATTAATGAAATATAATGAAAATTATATATCAATTAAATAAGTCACTCTATATTCTTGAAATATACGTCACTCCAATACTAGAAATGAGATATTAATTAATCTCAAAGAGAAATTAATTAATTCTTCGAGCTAATTAATCGCTCAGATAGTTTGAGTTTGTGAATGTTCCCAGACAAATCGTTTCGGTGATGAACACTCGCCTTTCGTGTGGAAAGCGATCGCGCTTCTCTCGCAACAGACTGCATGACTAATTGTTTTGACGACAAGCTTTTGACATTGTATGCAGATTAGACGCGGAGAACAAAAGAGTCGGTGGTATATAAATTAGAAACACCCTACTAATTCGAGAGGACGCTAATTTCAAACTACTATTGCGAACGCTTGCTTCTATGGAACTAGGGTTTTGTCGATATCGAAACACGAAAATGCTTTTCAAATATTTAATTCTCAATAACATCGATTAAAAGAATTGAATGTGAATTTCGTAAAAAAAAAGAAAAAAATAAAGAAAATGAATATTTTCTCTGGTAAATTTTTTAAATAAAATTTCATTCACTTTTCAATCAATATTTCGAATAATATAATAATAAAGTAAATTATATTAAAGAATAATTTTGACAAATGTAAATAATTCTCAATCATTTTTATGATTTTAAAATTATACGAAAAGAAACTGAACAACATCTCTTTCGTAAGAGATTGCAATAAGGAATCAATATCATTTATTGAGTTTACTTTCGTGAAAGTACATGTATGTAGAAAGATGAAAAGAAAGAAAGACATATATATATATATATATATATAATATATGCAGGTGTTGTCGATGTTTAAGTAGGCTTAACGAGAGAACCATTTGATTTCGCAAAAGCAAGAAGCGTACGGTCAAAAGTCTTGTTCTCGAAAGTTGCTATAAGCAAATTCATTGCATCTACCTAAGTGTATACATACATCTACGAAAAAGAAACATAGGAGAGTATGGATTATGTACTTGCCCTGTTAGGAAGATACGTACGCAATCGGTTCTCAACGAACCTAAAGATTCTTGCGTAAGAATGGAGCTCGTTCTTCTACTAGTCTTGCGTTACGGACATTTTTATACAATACGTTTTTTATTTTATTACTCTTTCTTTTCCTTTTTTTTTTCTTTTTTCAGCGAATACTAGAGAAAGTAGTTTTATACGTTTAGCGAGTGTACGATGATAATATTAATAATACGGCTTTCAACGAATCACTTATAATCAGATTTTTATGATTTCATTCAGATTACATTCAATTACAATTACTTTGTGGTATAACGAATTTGAATATTCATCAACAATTATATGTAAAAATATTGTATATGTTACATCTTGCGGTTTAAAAATATCATTCATTTCTGTTGCATTTGTTGGATATTAAAGTTATTGATGAAACGTATGTATATCTGAACAATGATAAAAAATATCTTTTTATACAAACGTATTTTCAATACAACGATTTAACTTCTCTATATTATTTTACTTATCTAGATAATTGGAAAAATAAAGTATATTGTCATATGTAATTTTTAACGATAATAAGCATATTCAAAATTTAATAAAATACTAACATTATATTATATTATATACCACAATANGCTTCTTGCTTTTGCGAAATCAAATGGTTCTCTCGTTAAGCCTACTTAAACATCGACAACACCTGCATATATTATATATATATATATATATATATTTGCTTAAAATTATTAATGCATATATTTTAAATATATTTCCTATATATATTAAAACAATATCCTACATATTTTTCATAGAAAATGATTGAAGAACGTTTTGATTTTATAAGTATGCAGATATATAGTAAACAAAATGAAAATTCCGTAGAATAATTCAATGGTTTTGATTTTATATGGAAATAAAGCCTATGGTATAGCATCGTCTTCATAGATTATTTGAAGCGGGTCATTGCGTACGGAACCAGAATCTCAGCATGCATTCCGGACTTGATCGACGCGTAGCTAACGAGTTATAAGGTTATCGACACCTTCTTAACAACATAGTAATAACATGACTAAACTATTATTTTATCATTTATTCTTATTATTTTCTTCGAAAAGAATTTTGAATGATAAAAAAGGAAATAAATGTATTTTAAAGGAATTAGTTTTTGGGTTCCTTTTTAAATGCACATTTGTATATGCAAATTGTTTTTCTTTTTTGTTTAAAAGATAGAGAGACAGGTATTTGGAAGACGTCATAGGTCACAATGCGTCGTATACTTAAAATAAACGTGCTGTATGCGTGTAGACAAAAAATAGATCCCAACGAAAATTATGTACATATATGAATATAATATTGCAGATTTTGTCGTGACCAATAACTCATATAGACCACAATGTTAAAGAATGAAAAGAAAAAAAAAAAACAAAAAATGCTATCAAAAGACGAATCGTTAAATTCGCGTATAAGTCAAATGAATGTGACCCTACAATCTTACAATAAATCAAACGACAACAAGCAAAATGATAAAAAGATGAAAACAATAGATTGGAAAATAAAAGAAATAATTTCATCGATAAAATGTCAAACTATTTAATAATTCATATACTATCTTATTTAAGAGAAAAAAAGAACAAATAAAAGAAGAAAAATGAATAAATTGTACTCACTTAAAAAAAACCTTGTAATAAACACCTTTCCTTTTTCTTCACCTTTATTCTTTTTATTCTTGTTCTCTTCCTGTCCGATATAAACTCGGGCAGTATAAATCGGAAAGGATTTCTCGTACGCGAGAAGAATCCAACGGCGATTGGCAGAAAGAGGCCGAGAGTGTTGAGGAAGAGAGGTAGAAAGAAGATCGGTCTTACGAATTGGAAATACAAAGAAGGAATGAACTGACGGAGGATCGTGATGAGCCAGTATATAGTCGGCCCACATTCCCTTGGTGCTACGAGTAACCTAAATTTCCCCCACCATTTAACGTTAAAGCTGGGCATCGAGTCCGGGGCATCGCGTGCGTGTACCTGGGAAATAACCCCACCTGTCCTCCTCTTCTCTCACTCCCTTTCTTTTTCTTTTCCTCGCTCGTTAAAACTGATCACATGTTAGTGTTAGGTAGCCAACTGTAGGAATCGTCCGTTCTCGACGACGAGACGACGATCACCTCCGGTTTGTTTCCCCTTTCACCCTTTCGACCATACTACACATACATACCAATTTATGTAATCATTTTCAAAAGGATGACCTAAAATGAATTCGTACCAATGAAAAAATGGTCCCAACTGCATAAGGTAACTTACATTAGTCTACTATGTAGACGGCGAGGGCCGTTATTTTTCAACGACACTTTTAGACGACGTTTCCTTTTGTCGCGAGAACGAGATGTCCGAAGAAAAAGAGATGAGAAAAAACACGAAGATCCGTAACGAAGCTTTCGTGGAATAAATGAGAAACGTTCTGTTGTGCAACGAAGGAAAAGTCGTTGAAAGGTATAGAGAACTATTGAACGCACTTTGTATCTTTTCTAGTTAGTGCTACCCGATGCAATAAGTCTCTTATTTTCTTGTAGATGTACGCATCTATAAATACACTATAACCATGTACATTTATAATGTCTTTTAATTGCGTAAATTCACCGATGAAAAATGTCTTCCTTCATTCAATGGATGGATACCTCCTTCACACACAATCGTTCATTCTATATAAATGTACTTTCGATGGACTTTTCGCCTTTTGAAATTTATAGAATATGTCACATAATGAACTATGATAAAACATCAGACGTTTGGATTATTAGCCAGCAAAGAAAGAGAAACAGGCTTTTAAATAAAGATATACTTCATATATATATATTCTCGAGTTTTACAACTTTTCGATTACTCAACGATTAACGATCAAAGACGATTACCAATTTTCTTTTCACCTTTAGCGTAAACCATCCAAATTGCAATTTCATATTTTCACATGCCGATCTCGATGATGCTCTTAGTGCATCTCCATTCCATAAAACGAAAGCGCACGTTCCGTCTGATTAATGTACACATGTAGGAACCTTCTGCAATCACTATGATGACCGAAAAAAAAACAAGAAAAAGAAAAAGAAAAAGAAGAAGAAGAAGAAGCTCTCTCAATGCTAAAGCGTGTTGCATCGCTTTTCGAGATTCATCTCACCGTCCACGCTCATCGCATTCGTCACGTTGCCTTTCTTTCTTTCTTTCTTTCATACAAATGCGATCATGCTTTCCCATTTTCGTACCACGAGTCTCATGATCCAGACTACGAGCTTGAATTTCTCATCCGACCCAACGGGGCATCCTTGTTCCCGACATCCTTGATCTAGATCAATCGCGTCAAGGATCTCTTTCCTTCGACCCATCCCATTTTCTTTTCTTATTCCTTAAAAAAAAAAAAAAGAGAAAATAATAATAATTCAATAAAAGACGATAATATTTAAAAGATTTTGTAAATAATAGAGAAGTTGTTTGCCTTTTGAGAATGTATAATATAATTTTTCAAGAAAATCATTAATCTAAAGAAAATATATATGTATATAAAGACCCAACGAACTTTTAGATTATCTAAGATTAAACTCAAGTATCTTGCAAGGAGCTTCAAGCAGGAAACTTTTCTTCCTTCTTCTCTTTCTCCTTTTCCTCGATCTTTCTTGAATATCTATCTTTCGTATAAACTCATTAACCAAACATAAAAGCAGAGAGAGAGAGACAGATTGGTAAAAGCAATTAACATTTAAAACAACATATTCTTGATAGTATATCCTATCAAAATATATCCTTTTGATTTGCCCCTTTTTTTTTTTGTAGTATTTCTTTTTTTTAATCTTCACAAATCGCTTTCTAAAAGATTACATATTGAATATTCATAAGAACAGTTTACATTTGCCCAAAGACGAATACGTTTCTTCGCTTAACACGTTGTTGGAGCTAGATGAATGCCTTTTTTCGCATTTACTTTATTATGCATGGAACAATCCCGAGATCTTGTTCTCTCTCTCTCTTTCTTTTTTTATTAACCTTTCGTTTTTATTCCTCTTTTTCTTTTTGTTTTTTTTTTTCCCCTTTAATCTCTTATAATGACATAGACGTTCATTCGTAGAAGAAATTGTCCTTATTCGAGACATTTTTTTTTTTCTATTTATTTCACTTCTCCGTTATGGAAAAATGATTGCACGTAAATTGTCAAAGAAATTTCACTCTCTTTAAGAGGGAATCGTACGTCAGTGAAATGTCTATAGAATATCGTGAAGAACATTAGCAGTGAAACACTCGCATTTTCCAAGGGCAACGATCTTTTTTCTACAATTTTTAATCTATCGAATAAAATATATTTACCGTTATAATATGAAATGTCTATAAGATAGTTTATTTTTGTGATAATTACTTGACTAGTTCGTAGATCTTCCTAACGTTTCATAGTAATTTATATTTATATTGTTATAATAATAGAAAATGTTTGTGTCTAAGAAATGGAATTCATCTGACTTCTAATGAAAATCTAGCTATAACAACTTGATTACGAGGAGAAAGGAAGAATAAAAGAAATTGTTTTCAAACTATACTATCTTTTCCATTCTATCCAAGTAAAAGGTAATTTTCTGCGAACATTTGTTGCAAGATCCTCCTATTCCTTTATCTTCCTCCTTTTCTTTGACAGCGTTTTAGCTCACAAAAGTGCCATGCTTTAACGTAAAATGTCTCAAACGAATTTGCCACAAATAACTTCAGCTTTGTATCCTTCGCTAAATATAAAAATGATTGCCAACTCGATCGCAAAGCTTAAACTCGAACACAAAAAAAACAAATATTTAATATTTGTTATTTGTTGTCGAGAAATTTTGTTGAAAAATTATTCTTTAATGTGTAAGTATATGTCAAAATTTGTTCTATATAAGGATTATTCATTTAAATATGATATATATATATATATAATGAATTATTAAATAATTAAAAATATTTTGTATTGGAAAGATAGAGGGAAAGATCACAGATATAAAACGCGTTCGCTCGTTAAGACGGCAGAATATAGAGTGTGGCAATGTTTACAAAAGACAAGCACCTTAGACGAGTACACTGTGTTTACGTTTTATTCGATTACCTAATCCTTTTTTAGATTTTTTTTGTAACACGAACTAATTCGATGATATATGGTTTTCTTTAGTTTACGCAATCTAATAAATGATTCAATTTTTCAAATGATCTTGAATTAAATTATAACATATACAAATGAGCCAACTCCAAATAAAGGGAGAAAGGAAATCGATAAGCTAACTTGAAATTTTATTTTTTTTTTTGCAACGATAATATTAATGAAATCATTTAAAAACGATTTCTCATGTTTTAACGCGTATGCGAGAAATAAAAATGTGTTATAAAAATTGTATGCGTTATGTTGCATATGCATTGCATTTTAAACACGTTTCTCTAACGTCAACTTTCTCATAACTTCTTCACATATTTCGCATAAAGTTAACGTAAAATTTATCGAGAAAATTTATCGATAACGATCAATGACATTTACTTTGACTAAGAGAATTTTTCAGCTGTCGTATTATGGGAAATTCATTCGATCGATAAATATATTTGATTTATGTATATTGCTTAGTAGTAGGTAGTGTATAACAATTTTTCATATTTTTCTTTTCAAAACGATATTTTATATGTATAAGATATTGTTAATAAAAAAAAAAGATATTACATATAATATATAAAATAATTATGATATATATATATTGATATTGTGTTTGAACTATCATTTTATGTTTAAAAGTTAAAATCATTAAGAAATTCCTCACGCGTTATTTGATATCATTATTATAATAAAAATTTTTAAATAATAAAATATATGTTACGTCATCATTTAAATGAGGCCTGTTACAAAAATTGTTTATTTTTTTATTATAACTAAATCGTCTAGGGTAAAATTCCCGTTTAAGTTGGCCAATCTGGTATTGTACGCATGCGTAAAAGATACTTAAGCCGAGTTAATACGTAGCACAAGCTGTTTTTTAGTAAATCAGAAAACTATTGGTCAACAATATCCAATGGTCAATAACGATTAGTTTATAGTACGTGCATACCACCAATTAAGAATAACAATTTATTGAAAACAGCCCAAAGACAAAATTATTGAACATTTAATATACTATATCTTATATTTATTAATTTGGAAATATGTAAAAACAATGACCTAAATTTAAATGTAAAAAATCAATTTTCTTTTTGCAATATAGTTTCGACGAACTATATATATAAAAATTGTTCCGAATTTAAATTCGACAAATTTTAACTTCCGAAAAAAAACTATAGTCTTTTATAAATGATCTTCGATGTATACGATTTTTATTTTATATATTTTTAACAAGTTTGCATTAAAAGTTAAACTTTATTTTTCTCTTTCAAATTGCATATGCATACAAATAACGAAAATTTCCTATTTTTTGTTTATTTCACGGGAATAAGAACAACTCTCTTCATGTCCCATTATGTCTTTAACTTTATTTTTTTTTTTTTTTTTTTTT